AGTTATTTTAACCTCTCCAACGTTTGGGAGAGGACAGTGGTACTGAGTTACAGCTTTGGGGGAGGACCATGATCCTTAAAATGTTATGACAATTTTAGTCAATTTTATGGCAATAGCACTTTGTTTTTTTAACACAGAAAGGGCTCTTACCACTTCAAATAAAGACAGAAACCACTGTATGATTATTTGCATTAATTCTGCGTTAAGAGAGCAGCTGGAAATTCTATGCCACTCACTCCAACTTTGTAAGCACAATGAAAATAAACTTTGGTTGGCTTTGTTGGAAATAGTACACGAACTCATCACTTGCAAAAAGTGTCTCCAGAAAGAGGGTAGATCAGGAAAGAAAAATTAAATATAAGGAAGTTATGGAATTTATATTATAATTTTTAATGCATAAGATCTGTTAAAATATTCCTTCTCTTCAATGTTATTATTCTACTCTATTTAATATCCTCAGGGTATTAATATTCACAGGATCTGGTTTTGAATTAGCTGGGCAAGGGTACAACTATTTCTAAAGAATCCCCTCCTCAAGTTTAATAAAAATAAATAGCTTTTTATTTAGAATTGTTTGAAAATACAGCATTATTTTCTCTGCAAAACAAACGTCTTAAAATCGAAAATCACGACAGAGCATATTATGGTCAAACTCGTGTTTATATATCCATGTATTAACACAGTATATAATCCACCTGTTCAAATAAACTAACAGAACCCCTTATCTGAGCAGTCAATCCTCCTGTGCTCAAAGTTCTGGCCCAGCTGGAGGACCTGCACCTGTACAGCTGACAGTCTGAATTCCACAGACAAGGAGCACATTCTCTTCCTTCAGATTGGTTCCTCTCATCAATTCATTCAAGCAGCAGAGGCATTTAAACAGCAGCTGCCCCTGCAGGGTGGGATTTTCCAGGTGGTTCACAGTTTTCCCATAAGGAGAAGGCCTGGAGGACCCTGAATTCACAAATTATTCCCTTAGTGTGTTAATCCCTGCAGTTAATCCCAGCCATGCTCCAAGCACTCCAGGAGGGGTGCTGTGCACATGGATTTACATACCTTGGATCCTGGTGTTGTGCACATGGATTTACATACCTTGGATCCTGGTGTTGTGCACATGGATTTACATACCTTGGATCCTGGTGTTGTGCACATGGATTTACACACCTTGGATCCTGGTGTTGTGCACATGGATTT